AACTTTTTTAGGAATTCTATGAAAACCACACTTATGTGATAGTTTTTCCTAATAAAAGATTGTTATTATTATTATTATGATGTTTACACGCTGAGCATAGCTACCACCAACTAACCTGTACAAGATGTCAATCTACCTTTATAGTGGATATCTTACAAAGTAGGATGGCAGCAAATTGACAGGCTGCATTGCAGTATGATTGGATAGAAAATAACTTGACGTAATAAGATTTGATTTACTAATGAGATATTCAATCGAGGCTGAGAGAGAAAAGGCTATGCCCCGATGTAGTTTTAAGTTAAAATTGAAGATGAAAGTAAGACAGAAGATAGCTCTAACAGAAAACTAGCTTTTTATCAAGTTATATTATAAAGATATGCAAAATGAACGATGCTACAAGGCTTTGAACTAACGAAGGGCGTTAGGGATGCGCCTTGAGACACAAGGGCACAGGGGAGGAGTCCACCCGAAASCGGTGCAAAACCAAGGTGCCTTGTAGTCTCGTTATACTGTCAAACTTGCAATTCTTATCCGACAGCTAAATGGAATATTCAGTCGAAATTAATAGAAAAGATAAGATAGAAATAAAACCAGAGAGTCACGATGTGCAACCAGACTTTAGTTTAGTCAAGGCACACAACTCAAACAAGACAAAATAGAAAACCTATAAAATAGCAACCTAAGTTATGTTCGAACAAATGTAATGGAATCCTAAAAGACAGCTAGGAGAAACGTGAGATGTACGAAACGGATGTCATATTTTATGTATAACCAATATAATGTCAAATTAAGTATCTGTTGTATTAGAGCAAAACCGCAAGTGGAGCTTGACGGTAGCTAGTAACGAGCTTACTAGAAAACTAATTCACAAATATAGATCCGATAAAGTGTTGTCTTATAACAATCGCGCTGAAAAAAATGGCTAGTGTAAACCGACCTTTAATATACACTGCACACTCATTTCAAAAAACGTGTTGTCGTGGAGAACGCCAAACGTCGATTGTCGAAATGAGATTGCATAACCAAAAGGGACTATGGTTGTGTTGTTTGACATACAAACATTTCACTTTTTGGATTCACTTTGCGCAAAGATGGAGACAAATAAAGAAATTCTAGCTAACTACCGTCCAATTTCAAATTTAAAAATGGTCTCCAAGGTAATAGAGAAGGTTGTTGCAGTTCAACTAAACAACTACCTCTCAGTCAACTCACTTCATGAACCTTTTCAATCTGGATATAAGCGATATCATAGCTGTGAAACTGCCCTTCTACGTGTTTGTCGCCATGTTGCTGCTTGCTTTGTCTGCTGCTTTTGACACTGTTGATCATACTATACTTCTCCGGCGTCTTCGCACTAAATATCGTATTGGTTGTTCTGTTCTAAACTGGTTCAAATCGTATCTATCTGATCGTACTCAATTTGTCTCCGTTGATGGCGTCAAGTCCCATTCTCTCCCTCTTGGTTGTGGTGTACCACAAGGTTCTGTTCTTGGTCCCCTCTTGTACATTCTTTACACGTCACCTGTTGCTGATATCCTTCGAAAACATACGATGTCATATCATATCTATGCTGATGACACTCAATTATATGTCCCATTCTCCTGCAATGATGCCCTGTCCTTCGATGATGCCATGAAAAGAATAAATGATTGCCTCTATGACATTGACTCCTGGATGACAATTAAATAATAAACTAAAGCTGAACAAAGATAAAACTGAATTTTTAATTTTTTCTCCAAAATCAAATCCTCAATCTTCCATGCGTAATCTTATTTTTGGTTCTGAACAAATATATCCTTCGAAAACTGCTAGAAGCATTGGATTTTTGATTCAGTCTAGCTCTAATCATGGTTCCTCACATAAAAAAATACTTGCAAGACTGCCTTCTTTTTCATCTAAGAAATATTGCCAGAATCAGAAAATATCTCTCTCTTAAGTCGACTGAAATCCTGATACATGCCTTCATCACTTCTAAACTGGATAATTACAACTCTATCTTATATTGTCTACCAAAAAGCATTATTAATCGTCTACAATCTGTGCAAAACGCTTCCGCTCGCCTTGTATCTCTCTCCAGGAAACACAACCATATCACTCCTATTTTAATCAACCTTCACTGGCTACCTGTTGAATTTCGAATAAATTTAAAATTCTTCTTCTGGTCTTCAAAGCTCTGAATTCTACTGCTCCCATTTATATCCAAGAACTTGTTCAAAGATACCGTCCTGCCCGAAAACTTCGTTCGTCATCTCAAGTGTTGCTGTCTGTAAAATCGTACAATCTAAAGTCTTGTGGTTATCGTTCGTTTTCTGTTGCTGCTCCCATTTTATGGAACTCTCTACCTGCCTCTATTAGAAATATTACTGACATTAACTCTCTTAAATCCTGCCTTAAAACGTATTTTTTCAAACTTGCCTTTAATTTGTAAATTTTATTTATAACCTGTAATTTTTTATTTGTATTTTTTTTTTCTCAGCGCTTAGATCTGAGCTGTATAAGCGCTTTAAAAATGAACATTATTATTATTTTTTATTATTATTATTATCTTACATATGGTTCCTTACCATGGTTCCTTTCGCCGGTCGTGTCATCTCTGCTTTTGCGATTCTCTATTTTTTTTTCCACAACGATCCTTTTTTTAATGGGTGTATACAGATATTACAAATATTCGAAACCTATGAAGCAGCTAGTAGCTTTGATATACTTTTTCATTACAAAGGTATACTGCGACCAAGAAACCAATGGCGGTGGATGGACGGTGATCCAGAGAAGACAAGATGGCTCACAAGACTTTTATCTGGGATGGCAAAGCTATAAGCTTGGTTTTGGTAGTCTTACAGGAGAATTCTGGTTGGGTCTGGACAACATCTACCGACTGACCCGCAATATAAAGAACCGTCTTCGTGTTGAACTGGAAGACACGGTTTATGCTGAATACGACTATTTTGCTGTCAGTAGTGAAGTTGATAGATATACTTTGAGTCTTGGTTCATTTTCTGGTAAGGCCAGATGCAGATAATAAATGCAACGACTATGAGGGCACAATATAACTTTATTATATGGCTTAGATAGTACGCGCGCTCTGATTGGCTGTTGACAGATAATGACCGGTCGGWATTTTCCTGTAATGCCCGCTCACAGCGGTCATTATTTTTTTTCGCTAAAAGTTACACCAGCTTTGACTTTGAGTAAGACGAAGAAAAAACACACAATTTGAAACGCATTGCAAAACAGAGATATCCTTTTAGTTCGTTTACGAAAAAAATAAATGTTTGAAAATTTTTTATTTGCAAAATGAGAGACAACGAAAACTACAGTCAAAGTGAATTTATTTTTACATGTAAGTTCTTGACGAGATTAGTGCGAAAGCCGACAAAATGCCTACCAAACAGACAAAAATCATTATATTTTTAGTACCAAACCGACGAAAATGACCAAAATCATTATATCTTTAGTAATTGTCTGCAAAAATGCGGGAATAATGGCTCCTTATTTCATAGATTCAGTTAATTTTCATGCACAAATAAGTCTTACATTATTACAGTCTACTCACAAACTTTTCAATGATTCTTCTATCGACAAGGCTGGTGTAGGTTTGTTTATTAATTCTTCTATGTGGATGTCCCTCAATATTGAATTACAATTTTCTTCTCTTTCTCCAGCAACCGAGGAGTTATAGCATTGAGCAATTTGCAAAAAGTAAACTGACGACGGTTATGTCCCACGAATTGCTTGAAAGTTTGCCTGTTTTCAGCTGTTTTCATTGAGAAAGCTTGGCATTTGAACGAGTTCACACTGACTCAAAATTCCTTCAACTGGACTTCCAGGTTTTTGCTCTTTTTTTCTAGTCAACGAGCTCATTGAATTTTTAAGAGGAGGATTTCATTCTCAGCTTTTCTTGTCAAAACACCGGTTTGAATCCCTTCGGCTTTTCACTTTTGTTTTGAGTAGTCTGTAGAGGTATGTTCTGGCTTCTTTTGAGCTTTTACATCCTGACACATCGTTTTTTTCTTCCAATACAATCCTTTTTGAGCTATCTTTAAATTATGGTGAATACTTATCGAGCATTTCTAAGCTGTCATTAGACTATGCTTGCCGTCCTCATGAGTAACCAGTTGAGTCAACCACTTCCCTCGCCGTTCATACATCAAATCCAAGTGCTTTAAGTAGCATTTTCGGTGGAGCTAACATCAGCAAAATATCCGACTGTTCGTTCAAAATTTTCAAAGGTACAGTCAAGATCCAACAACGGAAAAATCGAGAGTGACGAGGAAAGTTGAACATTCGCTAAAATCACTGCAAGGTCTGCACGTGTTGACGTTTTCAATCGTCTTAATTTTGACGTATTTTCCAACTATTTTTACAAACTTTTGGATGTTCTGAAACTTTTTAAGCTAAATTACCGTGTTTTGTGGAATAAAAACGGTTTTGTGACATAAATTGTGCTATATTAAACACATTTTCAAACAAATTGTTGTATTTTTTCGGCACTGGACATGACATTGAATGAACAAATGCGCGCGCAAGAGGAAGTGTTAAATCACTTCCGTTCTTTTATTTTGCTCACGTTATATATTTTATATTTTTTTTATTAAGAGAGCCATATAATAAATAACTTATTAACCTCGTCCGTTCGGTCATTACAGGGAAATCTCAGACCTCGGTCTTGTTTGTATGGACCTCGCTATCGCTCGGTCCATACTTCCAAGACCTCGGTCTGAGATTTCCCTGTAATGACCTCACTCTCGGTTAATAAGTAGTATATATTG